AAAAGTATAATAATTAATTATATTTAATTTTTTAATATAAAAATTATTGTGAACTATTTATTTTTATTAATGACTACAAGTAAAATGTCCCAGAGAAAATAGTAAATTACTAGCTTTATCCTTCTATTAAATTCTAAAAATTGTCATAGTTTCCATGTGTATTACTTTATTTAATTTGTTTGTTTGATTTTAACATGATTCAATATTTAAAAAGTAAAGAATTGTTTTGAATCTTGTGATTTATGTACCATAATATCTTTCAATTTTATGGTATTAAACATATCACTTAAAAAATTATATTTAAAAAATTTCCAAAAAACGAAAGAGATATATTTTTTTGAGATGGACTAAAAATAAAAGTAAAATAAATAAATAAAAAGGAAAAAATATATTGTCAATCACAACGGCCATTGGCTTAATAGCTCCACATTCGAGTGCTCCACAAACTCACATGCAGATTTACATACGTAACACAATTCACTAGTAAATTTACATACGTAACAAAATTCTGATGAATCATTAGGATTTCAAATTTACGGATAAAACTTGCCTTGTCAAAAGAATTTCTGAAATTACTAGTCAAATCTTGATAAATCGTCAAAATTTTAGCCATAAATCTAAATAATTTGAAATTGATGGAAAAACATGCCTTGTCAAATCCTGATGGATCCTTTGGGATTTGTGGCAAAATAATTATGACCACATATCTTAATAAATCGTCAAATTTGTCAGTAAAATATTTACTGATGATAACTACAGCTTGTTATTTGAAAATTTCACTGATACGTTTCATAAATATCAACTCCAAAATATTTGATATGGTACAATCTTCTAGTACCAATCCCAACAATTTTCAAGGTCAGATTCAACGTAGAAGTTAAATCCAATAGACAAACTATGTCTTCTTCAACAAGTTCTATACAAGCTCAATTTGTTCAGTTTTTTTTTAAAAACCAAACCAATCCAAATATTAAGGTAGCACAATATAAGCTCAATGAAACATTAGTTGTTCAATTCCAACCACAAATAGCAATGAATCTTTAATTTCCTACGACAAAGAAAAGAAAACAAACTCAGAAGAATTCTAACGAAAGTCTAATAATTAATATATAATATATATCACATGTGCGGTCTAAACAGATAGTGTATACATACATCTTATTCTTATTCTTATCTTGTGAAGTAAAAGTGTTGTTTTCGATAGCTCCTCTGGTCAGAAGAAAAGAATTGTGACGAAAGTCTAAAATTACTAATGAGATTAAATATCCTAAATCAACCAACGTGGGACTCAACAAAATACACTGACAACAAAATACACTGACAATTTGTAATAATATTGGTTTTAATTTCTTCTACCTTACTACCAAAAGATAAACTAAAATAATGATTTACAATAGTGGTTAATCTAGCTGAGTCATATAGAAAGTTGGATGGAAAATGTTAGTAATACCTAATAGCAATCAAGAAATTAAAGTAGCCCTGGACCCTTATATAAGTGGACCATAAGTAGTTAACTGGTCACAACACCCCTTAATTTCATGGTTGAATTTTAACCCCCCCCCCCCCCCCCCCCCAATTAGCAAGAGCTAAATGCCAATAATGTCATTGTCCATTGTTCTGGTGAGATTGGTTTCTATATCAATTGCATAGGTTACGCAACTTCATAGAGTCAATCAAATTGTTTGGTTCATTTACATAATGGGACTACAATTATATATGATTTCACTTTCAAGCTATCTTTATTAAATTACTTGATTTTTTTGATAACACAAGTTAAAAGGATTTGATCAACATGTTGGCAATATTATCATATATAGATCAAGTATTAGTAGTATAGATAGACTTATATTTCTCGAAAAGATCTTTATTCAATTTTTGTTCATTATCTATTAATTTAATTTTTTGTTTCTTTTGGGCTGAGGTATAGATGACATAATGATCGATGTTATGAATGAATTGACTCCACAAATCAAATTAAAAGAGAGGTGTCTTGGTGCATATTAGATGATATAGTTTTGAGTGACACACTCGCGATCGATGGAGTTAGTGCTAAGCTTGAGGTTTGGAGACATATCTTGAAGTTCAATTTGAGTAGGACAAAGAAAAAAATACTTGGAGTACAGGTTCAGTAACGTAACATGACATGAAGGTGGAATGAAAGTAAGGCTTGATACTTTGGCCATCCAAAAAAAGAGATAGTTTCAGGTATCTTGTGTCTATTACCCAAGAAAATGTCCGGGGAGATTGACGATGATGTCACACACCATATTGGTGCACAGTGGATGAAATGGAGATTCATTCGCAACTGGAGTCTTCTATGATAAGAAGGTGCCACTTAAACTTAAAGGCAAGTTACAAGATGGTTGTTAAACCAACTATGTTGTATGAGACGAAGTGTTGACCAGTCAAAATCTCTCACGTTCAGAAAATGAAAGTTACAGAAATAAGGATGCTGAGATGAATGTGTGGACATATATACTAGGAGAAATAAGATTAGAAATAAAGATATACAGGACAAGCTGAAAATTTCTTAAGTTGAGGAAAAGATTCGGAAAACGACATTGAGGTAGTTTGAGCATGTGAAGAAGAAATGCACGAATGACTTAGTGTGCAGGTGTGAGAGGTTGACTGTAGATGGTTTCAAGAGATGTAGATGTAGGCCGGTGAAAAACTGGAAGAGGTGATTAAATAGGATATGACACAATTTCAACTTACTGATGAAGATATGACCTTGAATAGGGAGAGGACACAAAATGTGGTAGTAGGTTAACAAGTAGTAGAATGTAGTCTTGACCATCCTTCAATACTCATAGTCGTAGTTTCTCTTGTAGTTTCATGTTCATTGATCTCTATAATTATTTGTCGCTTTTTGTACTTCGATTATCGTATTTTTCTATTATAGTTACTGTGCAAGATGCTTTGTCATGCTTCCTATAGTATTTTGCCGTGATTTTTTCATTTCTAATATTATTTCCTAATCTGAATTGCTTTTATCCATGTTTCATCAAGTCAAAGATCTATCAAAAATGCCTCTCTACGTTCTAGGGATAAAATTTGCATAGATCTACGCTTCTTAGGGGTCGTTTGGTACAAAGATGCATGGATTAGTAATGCATGGATTAGTAATGCATGGATTAGTAATGTAGGGATTAGTAATGCAGGGGTTAGTTTTTATCAAGTGTTTGGTTCATGTTTCCCATTTAATCTTATGTTTGGTTTAAAATTCTAGAAAAAGTTTATTTCCTATTAGACCCTTGAGTTATTATGAGATTTTATATTTCATTTAATTTGTCAAATTAAATACTAAAATATATTTAAAAAATTATTATTAAATTTTGAGATGTGATATGCCACCATAGAGATCCTTGATAGCATGGTATATTAACCTTAAACTTAACATAGATTTAAGGCTATTTAAATTGTTCAAATACACAAAGCTTGTTTTAAAAAAAAAAAATAGTTCAAGTGGTCAATCAACGAACTACATTTAAAAAAAAAACTGAAAAAACCAACTCAATATAACAAATCAAACATGGAGAAAAAAAATATTAATTTGTGAAATCATCAAATTACATGGAACGAATTTGGAGAATTTAAAAGAATATTTATAAATATTCTCATATAAATAAAAAAGACATTAAATTACATTTAAAAAAAATTAGGAAAAAAGATATAGGGATAGTTTAGTCATTTAGGGGTCTTATCCAAGGATTGTTAAACCTTGGATTAGTTATCCCTCCCTTTTCTAGGGATAAAATAAGACCTTGTATGAGGTATAACTAATCCATGGATTAGGTTAAATAAAGTAACCAAACAATATTTTTGTTGGACTAAATTTTAATCCATGAACTATTTTGATTAATACCTCCTACCAAACGGGCCCTTAATTTTTCTTTATAGCATTATATTGAGTATGCTATTGTTTTTTAAAGAGGACAAATCCCAAGGATATGGTTTTTAAAAGGGGAGCATTCCTTTTCTGTAATCACTTTCATACATAATTGCAATTTTATAAATTAAATTAAAGTAGTATTCCAAGATAAAGAATCATAATCTTTTTCTTATTATATAGAACTTTGTTATTTGACGGGATAATGGTTTGAAAAATACCTTAATTTTGGTTGGATTTGCTGTTGCGATACTAAATTTTCATAAGGATCTATTACCTCCCTAGACTATTTAATACCGTATTTTAAACATATATATTTGCCCACGTGGACATAAAAAATAATGCAAAATTATAAATAGTAATGTGTCCACGTGGACACATTACTATTTATAATTTTGCATTATTTTTTATGTCCACGTGGGCAAATATATATGTTTAAAATACGGTATTAAATAGTCTAGGGAGGTAATAGATCCTTATGAAAGTTTAGTATCACAACAACAAATCTGACCAAAATTGGTGTATTATTCAGACTCTTATCCCTTATTTGACAAACTTGATAAGATTGAGATTCCGTGTTAAAGTGACGTTCATTTGATGCGACTCGCTGTTGTGCTCATTTTGTGGATCAGATAGCTGCTTGTCATCCATTTATACATAGGATTCAAGTAGTTTGATTATGTTATTTTTTTTCGGATTAAAAATTTAAATATTAAGCATTTGATATTCAATGTGCGTGCACTCGTCCAACTAATTCAAACGTATCGAAAACCTTAGTAGGAGGGTAAAACTCCCCCTATTTTTATATACAAGTCTTTAATCAAAGAAAGAAATACTTATTTCTCAGTTGGCTCTTATAATTAGATTTGTATATTTGTTTGGCTCTCACCTAAAGGAAAAGAAAAAGAAAAAGAAAGAAAAAAATTATCGGTCATCTAGTTCACAAAAATATGTATAAGTGCATAGATATTGTATATTTTTTTTAATATTATATATAAAATGTACAATCGAATGTATATATAGTGTATGGACCCATGTTTGGTAAACTAGATAAGCAAAGTGTACAACGGCTATTTAATTCATATTTATTGGGCCATCGAAAAAGCCCAAGAAAAAATTCTTAGCCCAAAACACCAAAGCTGGATTTGGGCTGTGAATGAAGCATGGATCTTCTTTTGGGCTTCGTTGAAACCTAAAGGCTGAAACTTAAGAAACCATTAACGGCTCCTAAAAGTCTACAGAAGCAATGTTGAAAAGCTCATTCTTTTTGCTTCCTCGTTTTCCTTTAGCTTCTCCACCCCACAGGTATGTGTATATGTCACCGCTTTTTTGCTTGTTTCCTCGACGGTCTTTCGGAAATGGCCTCTCTCTCTGCTTCCATGACGTACTATTCTCCCCAGACCTCACTTAGTGGGATTTCACGGGGTATGTTGTTGTCGTTGTTGTTGTATCTCTTTTGCTTGTTCTTACATGTATGAAGTTCCATTGAAATTGAAGATAATTATAGCTCAAGTGATTGAATACATTATTGAGTGTCACCACCTGTTTGATGAATTGCCACACTGACATTAGCTGGGAAATATATATTTTAAGGATAACCCTTTGCTTTAATGTTGAATTTCTGCCCTCCATAAAAAGAAAGGAATTAATGATATACTTATTGATTCTGTGGCTAAAGGCTTCACCTTGGTAAATTGTTGAACATAAATCCACTGAAAGCTTTGAACAATTCCCAATTTCTCAAACGGGAAATAAAGTTTCGATGTTAATTGACTTGTTAAATGACATAATTCTTTGTATAAAGATTAGAGATGTACTCTGAAGATAAAAGGAAAATAAATCGATCCACCTTCAGAAGCACATCATATTAAATTCCAACCGGCCTCTTTACTGTATGGTCTGCCAGCAACAACCTCATAGTTGTAGGTCTAGGAGTACCCAAACTCAATTTCTTGAATATAGCAAGAGGCATCAAGTTGATGTTAGCACCAAGGTCTCATAGAACTTTGGAAAATTGGTAGACTCCAATAGTGAATGGAATGGTTAATGCAATCGAGTCTTTCTTCTTTTGGACCAACGAGTTAATGACACTGGAGCTACAATGATGGATAACATTCACGGTCTCAAAGCTCACACTCCGCTTCTTTGTAGTTAAGTCCTTCATGACAATTGTTTCAACATTGTGATGAACCTGTCAAATTTTCCATTCTCCACCTTCTTCAAGAGCCTTTAGGGGAATGGGGGAGGAAAGTTTGGTATTGGCAACGGAAATATGGCTTCTACTTTGCTTTTGCCTTTGACAAGTCCGTCATTTTGAATGGGGCCAATCTCTACACCTCTGGTAGCTTCATCAACATCAATAGGCTTCTCAATACAAGCCTTTTTTCTCTTGCGATCGGTTGACACTCAATTTTGTCCTTCCTTTCTTCTAATTCATTTCATTGAACTTCTAAATTATTAATAAGTCAAATATTTGATATTTCACTACTATTTTCAGTTACTAATATTGTTACCGTTGTTATATATTGGATACCATTGTTACTATTAGTTAACAATTATTATTATCCTTTATTATCAGTTTCACTCTTCTTAAAGTTCTATTTATTATTGTTATCAACATTACCATTATTAATTTATATCAAGTTTCATACCTATTAAATTAATTATAAATATTTTAACTTTTATATAGTTATTAATTGTCAATGGTTAAGATAATTTGCACTAATTATTAAATTAGTAGCTCAAAAAAATCAATTTAAAGAAGGAAAAGACCATCAACCAAACTAGTCCAAATCTTGCACCCAATTAATCACTTAACCCAATAAGTAGCAGCCCAATTCCAAAATAAAAAGCTCATGGCCTGCCACAAATAACCCAACAATCCACATTCTAGTTTTTTCCTACCATCCAAATCTCCAAAGCAAACCCCATTTTTAATCATTAACATTACTACTATTACTTTATTGTCCTCTTCTTTTAAAATTGATTGTCGTTACTTTATTTTAAGTTTCTTATCTACTAAACTTTTTACAGAATTATTAATTTTTGATTTCATAACATACATTTTACTAATTATTAAATTAGAAGCCTAAAGGGGAAAAAACCAATTCAAGAGTAGCCCATTTTCTATCATAAATTATGTCCAAAATTAGCTTGAATAACGGCCCTAATCCTCTAAATAGCCCAACCCCAAGGAAACGCGAACCCTAGATTCTTCTCCTATAAATACAACCTTATTTTTTCATCAAAGGCCAGGTTTTGACACTCATAAGGAAATCATTCTCTTACATCTACATATCATCCCACAAAGTATTTTCTATTCTCCTCCCCGTTTTGCTCAACTTTATTTGAAAAATGAGTGTAGAATTCGAGACGTCAATGAATCCCCAGTCACTGTCCCGTGGGAGGTAAATCCGACTCCTCTGTCACTCATTACTTTCTTTGGATCAAAGTGTTTTGTTTGCTTAGAAATTTTTATGAGGGTTGCTATGGAAATTTGTCTGCTAGGAAAAATCTAGAATGTGGATTGTTGGGTTATTTGTGGCCAACCATGAACTTTTTATTTTGGCGCAATTGGGCTGCTACTTATTGGGTTAAGTGATTTAGTGCCCGCTTGGATAAGTTTATAAAAAGTAACTTATAAATCAATAGCTAAAAGCCATACTTTTGATTTATTTTAAAACTTTTTTGGCCTAAAGATGAATGTTCTAAAACACTTTTTAACTTTTTCAAACACCTCCAAGACTAAAAAAGTGCGTAAAATCCAAAAACACCTAAAACTAAGCTAATCCAAACACCCCTTTGATTGGGTGCAAGATTTGGACTAGTTTGTTTGATGGTATTTTCCTTTAAATTGATTCTTTTGAGCTTCTAATTTAATAATTAGTGCAATATATCTTAACCATTGACAATTAATAACTATATAAAAGGTATAATATTTATAATTAATTTAATAGGTATGAAACTTGTAATAACAATAATAAATATAATTTTAAGAAGAGTGAAAATGATAACAACAATAATAATTAACAAATAGTAATAATATTATCTAATATATAACAACGGTAACAATAGTAATAATCGAAAATAGTAGTGATTATCAAATATTTGACTTATCAGTAATTTAGAAGCTCAATGAAATGATTTAGAAGAAAGGAGTAACAAAATTAGGTGTCAACAAGATCCACGTTACTTTCCACCACATCTGTTTCATCAACTATAACTTTTTCAACTTCCACCACCTCATCGCCTAGCACCCTTCCGCTTAGTATAGTAATGACCATACAATGGGCACCATTCCCATTATCATTTTATTTCACCGTATCACTCGGAAGGGCACCCTTTTCTTTGATTGAGGGTAGCCGATATTTGGCTAAGTTAAGACTCAAATTGCTTAATCGAAGTTGAGTGGGAGTTGACTACCCAATGTTTGATAAGCCATCTTTAACCTTTTTCACATTTGGGTCGGTAGACTCAACACTCTTGAAAGTGTATCCTCCATCTTTGAACTTGTGGAGTCACTAGTGGACGGTTGGCTACCTCTTGGAGGAGCATAGGTATATGGGCTTCAATGATTGTAACCTTTGTTCTGAGCTCCTTGGTCCTTGATTTCCTGAACCTTGCCTTGAGGCCTGGGTTAAGATCGATACCAACAGTAATCCAAATACTAAAATTCCATGACCCTTGATTAGGTCCATGGTAGTTAGGTCGGGACCCCCCTACTTTGTTATTCACAATATGAGCCTCATTTTCAAACGCTTGATAACACTCTTCATTTCGGGCCCCACATCACTTGGCCCAACTGAATTCACTTTTCGGGTGCTAGCTCCCATAACATACTTGGTGAGCACCGCCGTTCCTATTGCTCAACTCACCATGTCACTATCGTACCCCACAACCTTGTAAAGTATGGAAGAACTGAAGAAATCTCCATGGGTGACAGTAAAACCATTCCTATTGCTCATACTCGTTCAACTCTAATTAGGCATCTAAAACTACTTCTAAGCTTTTTGACACATTTTGTGCTCCATCAATAAAAGAATTCTCATTTTTGTTACTAAGTTTTATCAAGATAACCTCACATCTATTTAATTCTTTGTTTTTACTTTTGTTGGGAAGGACTCACGTACTCTATTGACCAATACACCAAATATACTTGGTTGTATACACTTAAAAATGAAAGTGAGGTTCTGTCAATATTCCAAAGTTTCATCCTTTAGTTGAAAATTTCTTCAAAACAAAAATTTCTTCACTTTATACCGTCGGAGGGGGTGAGTTCATCGGTCTTCAGCCCTATCTTGAGATAAACATGGATTTGAACCCTTAATTTCACCTCCTACACACGACAACGTGTTGCCATAGCTGAACGTAGACATCGTCATATTCTTGAAACCGATAAAACCCGTTCTTCATGAAGCATCCTTACCACCTGAATTTTGGTCGTTTGCCTATCCTTATGCTGTCTACCTTACTAATCGACTTCCCACTCCAATCCTGAATAGTGCATCGCCCTACCAAAAATTATTTGGTCGATCTCTAGACTATACCCATCCTCAAAGTTTTTAGTTGTCTTTGTTACCCATGGCATAGACCTTATACCAAAAATAAACTTGAGTCCTCGTCCACCCTGTGTGTGTATGTAGGTATCTCTTAGACTCACCATGCTTATATCTACCTTGAGCCAATTCAATCTAATATTTTTGTAAGTCGTGATGTACAATTTTTTGAAAAAGAATATCCCCAGCCAAGAGGCAGCTTCCCCATGTGAAAGAGAAAAGCCGCAATATAATTGGTTCTCAAGAGACATTGGCTAAAAGATAGGTCGAGGAAAATTCCTCAAGTGATATTCGGGTAATATTCCTTAATTTCTGATTCAAATCTTCATAAATTAGGCTTCATAATCAGCGAGTAGTCGAAATAATTGATCACATCCAAGTTAAAATCACTTACCCCTAACGTTTTGGTGATGAAATCTCACTTTTAAAACTGCCCAAAAACCGAGACTTCAATACCCCAAAATGATGAAATAAACTTAAATCCCAATCTTCCAGCTTCTATATTGCCAGGCGACAGAGCTTCGCGACTACAACAGGGTACCTCGTGATCAGAGAGCAATTACGCGGGGACCCTATGCGATCTTGGCGAGGCACAGCCCCCTAACCCTGCGTTACCAAGACCAAGGCCTCGCGATCGCGAAGACCTGTTGCTTTACTAGGAAAAAGGAATTTTTGGTGCAGTTCATTGGAGCTTTTTTGGTTTCAAAATTCACTTCATCTCTCGGGGTCAATTTCATCTTCTTTTTTTTTGTTAAAAAGAAAAAAATACCCTCGTGTCCCAACCTGAATCCTTCAAACAAGTTCCACAGAATATGACTTGAACCAAGCTTCCAAACATAAAATTAAGCATTAAACCTCATAATTAAGGGTTTTGGGTCATTACAAAATATTCATTTGTAGGTCAACTTAGAAGCAACTTATTTTAACCCAATCAAAGTGTAGCTCAAATTGACTCATCAGAGAACTTTGTAAAAAGATATAATCTTTCGGTTTGATTTATCATGTATATTTCGCCACCTACACTTCTACTCACCTTTTCTCCATATATAAATAACAGATTCATACCCCAAACTGACCCATAAGAAAACTTTCTAAAAGGAAAATGTTGTAAGTTTTTTGTTTGGTTTACTATGTATACTCTCTACCTTAACTTCACACAGTTTCTCTCTATATAGAATAGAGAAACTCTTTTGTTTGTGACGTTTTTGTAGCCTAAATTGACCCATAGAGAACTTCGTCAAAATAGAATTTTAATTTGTTCGGTTTATTAAGTATATTTCTCATACTTTCACACACTCTATAAAGAAGAGGAGAACTTTTCTGTTTGGTGATTAAGAAAAAATATAGCAAATAATAAACAATTCGAAAAATGAGTTTGGGTTAGGCTAGTTGGATTATGAGGCATTTTTAATCCACATTGACACAATCCAGTTTGGCACTAGTAAGCTTTCGGGGGTTGCGTATGACTCGTCTATTGACTACATGCCTAAATTTAACCCCACCCACTGGTATCCTAATAGAAAGAAGCAAATGGTAGAGTGAGTTGTTCTTAAAAAGACCAAAGCAGGTTCATATTGTTATGGAGCATGAAATCATAAATCTTATTGCAATTCTCAAAAGTATTTGACAATTTTAAATCCCGTGGACTTGGCTCTGTTGGCAATTTTTTTAACAAAATATTAGGGGCAGGGAAGGGGAAATGGGGGAGGGGACTACAAGGTGAGGAATTGAACCCTCATCAACAAGGTGAAAGTTTGGGTAGCCGACCAACTGAGCTATTAGGATTCCCCTTGGCTCTATTTGCAAGTTACACACCTAAACTATAGGGTGCTTGTATCCTGTTTGAACTTCCCTTTTTCGTATCTATGGCCACTCTGAACCAAAATTTGGTGGGAAGTGATAATCATATTAGTCATGTTGATTTTTCAAGCACGTGGCATTTTTAAACCACTAATTTTTTATTTTTTTTGATGACAAAGGAAACCCGTAGCCGCTATCCTTTGTTAAAAAACCACTTTTTTCGGCCAGATCTGTAAAACACTTGGATGGAACTCTATTTTTGTCAACATAGCTAAATTTCTAAATTTTACAACAACATACCTGGTGTAATCCCCCAAGCTTGCTGGAATTTCATTTTTTTTTTTTTGGCGTCACTACTGGTGTGAACTATAAGCCAGGGGTTCGAGTTGTGGAATCAATCACTTATACTTGCTTCAGGGTAGACTATACATTACATTCTCTTGGGGAGCAGCCCTTCCCAAACCCTGTGTCAACACAAGGTGCTTTGTGCATTGGGCTGCCATTTTTAGATTTGTAACAAGTTCGGCACAATTCTATTATTCTCGGGTTAGATTACCCCCCCCCCCCGCC